TGGATTCAATTCAGCTTCGTACAAACACCCTCACTGACCGTGTTATGGAGCAGTCTCCTACTGTAGTCTCTCCTTGCCACCTTCTTGCCTTGGAGTTTTCTTTACAGCACCCACCTCCACCTGATATATTAGACCTCTTCTGGAAAGTAAGCACTATGAGAACAGGAACTATGTATAGCTATTTAAAAGAAAAAAACGAAAAGAAAAAACACTTTATGATATAAATCATATGTCAGAACTCCGTTAAAATGCCCTATGGAATGAATTATAGTATATTTATTTAGTTGTGTAGCCATGGGCACAATATAACTTTATAACACTGTCATTGTGTACAAGGGGCTAATGCAGGACTATCATGAGGTAGAGGATGGCCTGGACTACATAGCTAGACAGTACACACACACACACACACACACACACACACACACACACACACACACAGAGAGAGAGAGAGAGAGAGACAGAGAGAGAAAGCAGAGAGATAAGAGAGTTAGAGAGACAGCTAGAAGACAGAGAGAGATAGATACAGAAAGACACGCAGAGAGAAACCCCTCTTCTTAACCATTACCTCCCATTGTCCATGTTCTCTGCAGTGTTAGGTAACACTTGTTTCTATGTCTGTTTACTTGCTTATCACCGCCATTTACACATTTACTGTAAATGAAACAATGCAGTATGTGGTCATTTGTCACCTTCCATTTGTTATTATGTTTCAGGGTTCCTCTATGCTGTAGTGTGCATTGGTATTTTGTCACCTGGTAATATCTCTTAATAGCTTCTACCATACTTTGTTTATTCATCACTTTATAGACTTTGCATTGTTTTCCTTTTTTAAACTGTTATGAATCATAGTGCCATGAACATTTTGTACAAGTGACCGTGTGGGTAACTTTTTTCGATTCTCATAAGTAGATGTGCAATTTCTGGGTTATATAGTCATCCTACTGTTTATCATCTCAGAAACCAAAAGATCATTTTCTGCACTGGCTATGAAGATTTATGTTCCCAGTCTGGGGTATAGCTGAGTGGTGGACTCTTTATCTACCATGCATGAGACCCTGAGATGGCTTCCACGATAACATACACATTTCTTTTTCATTCCCAGTGACAGGATGAGGGTTTCAGTTTCTCTATATCCCTGCCAACATTTTGGAAAATTCTAGTAGCCATAATGTGCACATCTAATTGTTCAGTACCCTTTGCTGAAAAGACCGTTCTTCCATCACAGAATAGTTCAGTTGCTTATTTGGAAATAATTTGATGGGGGATGTCCTTCTGTATGCTGTAAATAAATGCTTTTCTTATTGGTTGATGAATAAAGCTGTTTCAGCCAATGGACAGGAAGTATAGGTGGGATAACCAAACCAAGGATGGTGGGATGAAGAAGAGCAGAGTCAGAGCAGATGCCAAAAGACACAGAGGAAGCATCATGTGCAGACAATAAGGTAACAAGCCATGAACCACGTGGCAGAGGATAGGTAAGAAATACGGGTTAATATAAAGTGTAAGAGTTAGCTACTAACAAGCCTGAGCTATTGGCTGAGAAATTATAGTTGATATTAAGTTTCTGTGTTAGTTATTTGGGAACCAGAAAGCAGGAAAGAAATGTCTGCCTACAATAATTGGCTGTAGCTATGAGGGTTAGCCTCCTCAGCACCTCCACACATATGCCCATGCAAGCCCCATTTTGGCCGTTTAAAAAATACCTATTTATGTGTCTATGTGAGCTTCGGTGTGTATTTTGTGTACTACGTGAGGGCAGGTTGCCTGTGGAGGCCTGAAGAGGGCATGTTTGCCTGGAACTGGAATTACAGGTGGTTGATAGCTTCCCAGTGTGGGTGCTGGGAACTGAACCTGGGTCCCTGCAAGAGCCAGACATGCTCTCAACTGCTGAGCCATCTCTTCAGCCTTCCTATTTTGTTTTGATGGCTGAAGCTTTGTCGGACCTTTGCCCTCCCTCCCTCCCTCAGGACTGGGGTTACAGGTGTGTGTGAGCACATATACCTTTCTTCACATACGTGTTGGGGATTCACACTCAGGTGCTCATGTTTGTGCAGCAGGCGGTCTTACACCTGAGCCATCTCCCCAGTCTAGGTTATCTAATAAGCTGTATGATAATCAGGAGAGCTTGAAATGGGTGCCTACCCGCACCACATTTGCTCATCCACTTCTGGCTTTGTTGGGTCCGAAGCTCCCCACTCAATTCCCCTTAGGAAGGAGCAAGAGATAGTTAATAGAGGGAGGAGGGCGGGCTTCAAGATGGCATCCTCTGGGGTCAAGGCTCAACTCTGTTTCCTGACTCTGTAGGTTTTGTGATGACCTTGAGCACAGGGATAAGTTTTAAGAGTGGTCTGTTCATGGTGTGTGTAAAGTGTCTAGAATGGCTGCAGCACTATACTTTTGTCTAAAGCAAAATAAGAAAAAATCCAGCAAAAAACAAATGTGACTTGTTACCCAAACGCTTACTTACCTAACTCCATCTGCTTGCTCCAGCTCTTCGAGTGTCATCTTGTACCATGTTGTAACTGTGTCTCCAGCACTCACAAATGCCAACAAATTTCAGTTCATATTCTCAAATACTCAAGGCAAATAAAGCCTGAAGAAAGAGAGTTCACTTAGTTCACAGGGTTAGACCATGTTTCCAGTATCTGGCTCTTGTGAGGGTCACCTTGGCTGCACAACACTCATGTAGGATAACATGACAGCAGAGAGACATATGTGGATAAGAACTCAGTGAGCAGGAATGGATCAGGTTTGCTCTTTTATAACTGCTGGGGTCCCATGAGAACTACATTAGTCCCTTCCAAAGTAACACTCCCAGTACCTAATGATGTCCCACTGGATCCCACATCTTAAAGGTCTTAACACATTGTTAATATCACCGCACTGGGTACCAATCTTCCATCTTCCAGTCCATGAACCCTCTGTAAGGGTCCTTGGTTCAGTACAGAACACACCCAGACACCGACTTCGTGGCACAAAGGAGACTTGTTACACTGGAGGGACAAGTGCAGGGAGGGGGTGGGTATTGGACAAAAGCACATGGCAGGTGTTTTTACAAGAGTATGTTTGTGTTTAAGGAGAAAAAAGGGGAAGTCTGGGTTAGGATGAGTTGGTAAGTCCTGATTGGACAGGTTGGCCGGTGTAGCCAAATAATGAATTTTTATTGCTGGACATTGGTGTTTTGATAGTTGGACTCCAATGATCAGTCTCAGGAATGAGTCAGTGGCCATATAAGTGAATGGACCTTGAGGGATCGCTTTAGGATTACAATCTAACAGTTCAGCAAAGGAGAGGGAAGGAGAAAGGGCAAAACCTTCTGGCTCCTTCCCGTGTTGAAACAATATTAAAAGTACTAAATAGGTTACTGTAGAAAAATTGGTAGAATAGTGGCAGTATATGTCCTTTTGAATATGTCTGTAATCAAGAAAGATTTTAAGAAACCACAATCCAGTGTGCCTCAGTCTGGTGTCATTTTCTTTGAACAAACCACCACCACCAACAACAACAACAACAGCAAAATCAGGAGATTGGGGTGATGTGGTTAAAAACACTTGCTGCTCTCACAATGGTCCCAGGTTCAATACACAGCTCCCACACAATGGTTTCCATCAGTTCATAACTCCATTTCCAGGGGCTCTGAAATCTTCTTCTGGTCTCCCTGGGCACAAGGTGCACATACATGCATGCAGGCAAAGGACACCCACACATTTAAATTAAATTGTAAGAAAATATCCGAAGCTCTTTGCTTTGACTGCAATTTGCAGAGCCTGGTGAATCTGCTGACTCAATGAGCTACAACTGACAGCAAACGCTCAAGGAACATGAAGTGCTAAAAAGTTCGGAGAATTTGATTCTTTTCAGTCCAGTAACCAGAAGCATTTGATCTTTTATTACTGAATATGGTTGCTGTAAAAAGAAATGAAATGTCCTAAGTATTCAGGGTTGAATGACCACCGGAGCTTTCTATTTTCCCTGTTCAGACAGCCTTAACTTTATGTTGTGTATAATAATATCTTAGCACAATCAGGCTTTATGAAGAAAATGCGTATTTTTCCCCTTACTGTGTTAAAATGGTCCCTTTAAAGTGCATATTTCAACAGAATGAACTTCTCTTCACATCGTAGCTCTTTTTTATTAACAATTATTTTTCCAGATTGGTCTTCAGTTTTTGCCTAGGTAAAACAAGTCAAGCAAAAGCAGTACAGAGGGATGTTTTTATTTGAAAGGACAGAAAATGTGGTTTTCTTCCAAACTCTGATTCCCATTGACAGATGCCCTTAAACCAGATATTGCAGGTTCCCCAGAGCACCCTTGGGATCAGCGCTTAGCCATGCCCTGGAAACAGTCCCACTGGGCTCCATAATTCAGCAGAGTGAGCCCACCCCTCCCGATTAGTATAGTCTGGAGGTTAAACTAGGTGTCTCCTCCTACTTCCCTTCTTCACCAGATTCCTTAAACTATCACTGAATCAAGGGCACTAAGTTATGAAAACAATACTTCCTCAGAAGTAAGATTACATTAGAGAGAAGGTTCCAGGAGGAAGGCTATCTGTGGCAGGACACCATTACCTTACACTCATGAAAAATTCGTCCCATTTTAATTTTCAAATGTCTTGGAATGCGTTCGCTGGGGGGAAAAGCAGCTTCATAAAACATAAACGAATGCCTTGAAAAATACTTCCATTTGCTCTATCATGGTTATGGGAGCATGCGTTGGAAAATGTGTGACTATCATCTCTTGGGCTAGAAGGAGAAAAATAAGCAGAGGTATGTCTGGTGCTGTGTTGAGTAAGGCTGAATGGTCTTGAAATTCATAGGGGGTAATGATATTTCTTTCATTTTTAAAAGAGAAGTCATAAGAGAAATTTAGAGCAGACACTCTGCTTTTAAAAATCTTTTTTTATTTAAGAAAGGGTTTCTCAGTAACTTTGGAAGCTGTCCTGGAGCTAGCTCTGTAGACCAGGCTGGCCTTGATCTTTAAAGGCATGTGCCACCACTGCCCAGTTTGAGACTCTGTTTTTCGTCTTCAGTTCCAGAGAACCAGATCCCAGTATGGCTGATCTTTCACCAGGAACGTGTTCCCAAGGGAGGCAATGCAGCAACATGATTGATTCTATGTCTTAACTACAAGTGGAGATTCAGCAGACCAACTTACATGGTAAGCTTGGGACCTGGAAACAGTTTAGCCTGGGTATAGACCTGCCATGAGTCTTTGGTGTTGAGTGACTGCTCCATGCACCTCTGAGTTTATTATCCTGAACAGTGTTTGGAGAAATGAAGTGAGAGCCAATGCCTGAGACCAGTATACTTGAAAGGGAGGCAGAATGACATTCTTAACAGTGACAGGAACAGTATGACAAGCCTGGATTTGGAGAAAATTGTGTTTGAAAGGCTTGTAGCTATGAGGTCACTTATCTAGTCTTAGTAGGAAATGGATGGCTTACTTTACATGATCTTTTCAAAATCTCTCCCGACCACCAGATCATGGTTGATCCCAGAGACACTGACGTTCTTGGCAAGTGCTCCCCAACTGGGTTATGTTTCTAGTCGCTTAAGAATGAGTCAGAGTGCAGCACAGTCTCTATCCTTCCCTAGCTGTCTTAGTCACTGTTCTGTTGCTGTGAAGAAATATCATGACTAAGGCAACTTATGAAAGTAAGCATTCAGTTAGGGGTCTGCTTACACTTTCAGAAAGTTACCCATGATCTCCATGGCAGGGATCATGGCAATGCATGGAGCTATAGCTGCAGCTAACAGCTGACATCCCAAGTTACAGACAGGAGGCAGAAAGAGAGCAAGACAAGGCCTGACCTGGGCTCTTGATGCCTCAAAGGTCACTCCCAATGACACACCTCCACCGATAAGGCTATGACTCTATCCTTCCCCAACAGTCCACCAACTGAGAATCAAACATTCTAATTCATGAGCCCATGGGGGTCATTCTCCTCTAACCACCACACTAACAGTACAGACCATCAGCTGGAGAGACACACGCTAGAGTACATGCATGTACACATATGCATATAAAGGCTGAGCTGCTGAAAAAACTGAAGTTGCCAAATTGAATCCCAAGATAGCCCATGGAAGAGAAGACTCTGGGCTAATTGGACATCAAAGTCACCACCCTCCAGGGCTCCCTGGTTGTTTACAATAAGAATAAATCTTTGAATTTATTTTTAAAATTTTTGTCATAAGATTCCTGAGTTTTATGGCCCTCCAACTACCTACTTTCTCCAATGATGAATGCTAAGACAGTTTCAAATCCAAAGGGTCAGAGTCAATCCCTGAATTTGGGCAAGGGGCCATCTCCTTGCTTTGCATTTCAAGTCAGCCAAGTGATTCTCTGGCTCATTCGAAAGTGTCTTGGGAGTTACACAAATGTATGCAAGGCATCTCTGATTCATCTTTGGCATCTCTGCTATCTATTTAGATGCTGCACACAAACAAAGTCTGTCTTATCCCATGTAGCCCTTCCATGGCACTATGAATGTGCTACGGTGCTTGTGTTTAACATGCAGGCTGAGCGCAAGTACCAATCTGATGCAGTTCGACTTTCATAACCTCCAGTTTACAGTTGAGCACTGCCTTTTTAGTGCTGACAAGGAAATCAGATTGGACGACCCTGCGCATACAGCTTCACAATGTGTGTAATCCTGGCTTTGCAACTGAGGAAAATCAATGAGGGAGCATTGATCTCCTTGCAAATGCAGTTAGCTCAGAAACTCTCTGCCAGGGATTTGGGTATTCAAGTCACTCAGCGGCACATGCTTTCCAACCTGCCTCTTGTGGGATAGCAGTTTTCTAGATCTCCCCTTAGCTGCACTGACATATGCATACAAAACCATGACTTCTAGATGAAAAAAGCACCCTGTGCATCCACAGCTCAGCCTCTATGCTTGCTCAAGGCTAAGGGAAATAGACTGTATGTCAACGACATTACACCATGTCACCGGGTGAAGAAAACTCCTGCAGAAGGGTGGGAGTATGTGAGGGAAAATATTGCCTTCAGCAAGATGGATTGGATCCCCGTCTGAGCTCTTTGGGGCATTTTGTTCTCTAATCAAGAAAGCAAATGGGATGAAGAAATTACCTGAAAACCCCACAATAGATAAAGATGTTAGTGCAGATACAAATGAAGATGAAAAATATTACATGGCCAAATATAGTATGTACAAAAATGTGTATTGCAATATTTCATGCTTGTTAGTGGAAATATTTTTACAACATGTCTCCCATGTGCAGAAAATAAATCAAGCCTTTAAAAAGAGACCGCGGATGATTCATTTAGTGCTGTCATAATATGGTGTTTTCTTTAATGAAAATTTATATCATTTTTCCTGGACTCAGTGGAATAAATTTATACTGAAAGGTGGGAGAGAGTGATAAGTTCAGAATGAAACACAGCCAACACTTGGCAGTAAACAGGAGTGAGGAATGGTCCGACGCCCGTTTTCTTTTCCTTTTTTTTTTTTTTAGGAGATTTCATATTCAAGCCTTCATTAATGCATTAATGAAATAGAAATCTAACTGGCAGCATTTTGTAGAAATGTAGCACTTTCAGACAACTCTCATGAATACCACAGTCACAATGAGTCACAACCAGATACTGACCAGGTGCTTTAGAGAGCTCAGCCATGAGCATCTTCCGGAGGAGGGAACCATGCTAAGAGTTCTGGCTCCTTAGCGGCTTTTATTATTTGTAAAGAGAAGTCTTTTCCTTGCCAGCAGCTTTGGTTTATCCCCTGCTAGTCTCCTGGGCTCTGCCACATTGTAGTCCCCAAATAACACACAAGATGCTATATTAATTATGAAGCTGTTGGTCTTGCTTGTTTCTTACTGACTAGCTATGACTTAAGTATAATTGCTAATCTAAGTATTTCTCTTACTGGAGAATTTTCCGGGCTTTCTACCCCATGGCGGTTACATCTTGACTTCCTGTTTTTCTCCATCCCAGAGTCCTCCTCGACTCCTAGTCCCACCTATCTTGCTTCCCTATTGGCCAACAGTGCTTTATTGACATACACACAGGGCTTCCCCCATCAATTATTATTTATTTATTTGTTTGTTTTTGGTTTTCTGAGATAAGGTTTCTCTGTGTAACAGCCCTGGTTGTCCTGGAAATTGCTTTGTAGGCCAAGCTGGCCTCAAACAAACAGAGATCTACCTACCTCTGTCTCCCCAGTGCTGGCAAGAACAGTGTTCTCTCTGGAAAGTCAAGCTATCATAGCAGTGAACATAGCTGTGAACATAGCTTAGGAGACAACCTTTTAAATGGTTAATGAGCAGGGCAGTGGTGGCACATGCTTTTAAATCCAGCACTAAGGAAGCCAAGGCAGGTTAATCTCTGTGAGTTCTAGGCCAGCTTGGTCTACAGAGCGAGTTTCAGGACAGGCTCCAAAGCAATACAGAGATACCCTATTCTGAAAAACCATAAAAGGGGACCTCCTGGCCTGGGGACTGTGGGCAGTTCAACTCACACCCCTTGCAGACACAGTGCTAGTCCTGCCTCCACCCTTCGGGAGAGGAAGTGTCTCAAACCCACCTGCACCCATCATGAGACCCATAAGAGTATTGGACCTGCTTGCACCCACCGGAAGACAACTTTGGACCAGTACCGATCAGGAGAGGCAGAGATCCCACCAGCACCCACTGGAAGAAAGGAGGCATGACAATATAAGACCACATTTAACAACAGAAAAATCAATATGACATCCTCCCCCCAGAGTCAAGGGACTCTATACTAGCAAGACCTGAACATCCCTACACAGATGAAGCAGAAGAGAACAACCTTAAAAACAACTTCATGAAGATGATAGAGACCCTAAAAGAGGAAATGAGAAAATTCTTTAAAGAAATGGAAGAAAAAACAAACAAATAAATTCAAGAAATGTGGGAAAAGACAAACTAAAAATTGCAAGAAACAATTCAAACAGTACAAGGTTTGAAAGCTGAAATAGAGACAATTAAAAAAGCACAGTCTGAGTGAATGGTTGAATTAGAAAAGCTGGGTAAATGATAAGGAACTACAGATACAAGTATAACCAACAGAATACAAGAGATGAAAGAGAGAATCTCAGGTGTTGAAGATACACTAGCAGAAATAGATTCATTGACCAAAGAAAATCTTAAGTCCAACAAATGCCTAACACAAAATATCAAGAAAATATGGGACACCATGAAAAGACCAGACCTAAGAGTAATAGTTATAAAAGGAGGTGAAGAAGCCAAACTCAAAGGTACAGGAAACATATCCAACAAAATCATAGAAGAAAATTTTCCCAACCTAAAGAAATACATGCCAATGAAAGTACAAGAAGCTTACAGAACACTAAATAGAGTGGGCCACAAAACGTCCCCTCCCCACATAATAATCAAAACACCTACCATACAGAATAAAGACACAATATTAAGAGCAGCAAAGGAAAACAGCCAAATAACAAATAAAAGCAAACCTACAAGAATTATACCTGAATTCTCCATAGGAACTCTGAAAACCAGAAGGTCATGGATAGATATTCTACAAACACTAAGAGACCACAGATGCCAGCCCAGACTGCTATACCCAGCAAAGACTTCAATCACTATAGACGGAGAAAACAAGATATTTCATGACAAAACTAGATTTAAGCAATAGGTGTCCACTTATCCAGTCCTACAGAAAGTACTGGAAGGAAAACTCCAACCTAAGAGAGTAAACTAGACTCAAAAAACATAGGCAATAGATAATTCCACTTTACCAAAAGTCAAAAGAAAAAGCAGGGTAAATCCACACACAATACCACCACCACCACCAAATCAAAAACAAACAAGAATTAACACTCAATGGTCCTTAATTTTCCTCAGTATTAATACTCTTAATTTGCCTACAAAAAGATGCGGGCTCACAGAATAGTTACTAAGACAGAGTGTACACTTCTGCTGCATATAAGAAACACATCCCAACTTCAAAAACAGAGGTTACCTCAGTATAAAGGGATGGAATAAGATTTTCCAATCAAATGGACACAAGAAGCAAGCTTTTGTAGCTATCCTAATATTTAACAACTTAGACTTCAAACTAAAATCAATCAAAAGAGATGAAGAAGGTCATTTCAAATTCATCACAGGAAAAATACATCAGGATGAAGTCTCAATTCTGAACATCTATGCCCCAAATAT